ATCTGACGGTGGATAGCAAGTTAATTTATAAGATGCCCCGTAAATCTGTGCAGAGCCCACGTGGTCGCATCTCAACAATAGGCTGAGCGAATGGTATATATTTAAAGGCAGAAGCACGATCTGTCGAGGCGTTCATTATTATCTTTTTCAAGATAAAGATCTAAGCCCTCATAAAAATCAGAAAATATCTCGAGCCTTCAAATTGCATTTTGCTGTTCCTGCAGAATGGTGTGATTCACCTTAGTGACCACCACCATATCTACTGATCAGCTGGCGCCACACTCCCTCTTTTTTCGATGTTTGGCTCTGAGACTATGATTATTATGGCTACCGCAAATATATATTGTTTGGTACCATACATGTTCGTACCTTATACTCCATCTCCCTAGCTTTCTTAATGAGTGTTTCCAATAGGTCTCCACGTACATCTTTATGAAAATAATATATATGTGCATGCGTCCTAATGAAAAGATTACTTTATAAGAAGTTAAAACCTCAGAGAGTAAAAAGAATAGGTTTTGTGAATAGTGGAGCAGGATTCAGCAGAACATTATAGTTGGTTCAATGTAGGTAATATGAACTGAAGGTAAGGTCGGTTGGCAGGACTTAGTGTACTAATATATAGTAAACATCTGACATTGCAAAGTAACGTGTCTAGACATATTATAAAAAGATATTAACACAGAACCAACAAAATTTTGGCATCTGGTTAACAATACTGCAGTGTGTATACTGAAGAATGGTAGTTAGTCTACAGGGAGCCGTAGAGTAAATCAAACCATATATGATGAGAGTATAATCAAAATTATAATTCGTATATCAAATATTACACTAGGTTCAATAATTGAGTGTAATAAGGGAAACAAGCGTGGTAAAGCAGGAGAACATGTGATGCATTAATATTTTAATCATTTTAAGTATTTTAATAACCATCTAATTTAAGATTTGAACGTGCATGATTAATAAGTATTATTATGTTAGTATATACATATGTAAAATGTTAAAAGGTGTGGATGCTCTTATAATTATTTCCAGTGTTACTTTTGCCAGCACAACTTAGTGAAAATTATAGAGAATAGAAATCAGTAAATTAGTTAAAGTTAGCTGCGTGAGTATTAGAGTAGGGATATACGTATGTGACTATACTTAAGACTGGACTGGCCTTCAATTTCCGTTCTACCATCAGTTGTGGTCTTTTAGACGAGCTAGGGTGTACATGTTAAAGTGTCTTTCTAGGCTCCGTTTGAACCCATCAGGGTTTTCACAACATCTTATTTCAGGTGGTAGTTGGTTCCAAAGAGTGCAAAATTTTATGGTGAAAAAGTTTGCCCAAATGGATTTTCTGTGGGTAGCCACCTTGACAAGGTAGTGACGTACGTAAAGTGGCTTTATTAAGATCTTTGTGAAACAAAGATGGGAGATTTCAGAAATTTGAAAACGAACTCTACAAATTTCACATAATGTAATGATTTGTCACTAACGTCCGAAAAGCAGCATATTTTGAATTCCGTAATTAATTTTTACCCCTCCCTTAAAACTTAGGTAACTTGTTACTAATATTGATGATCTTAAAGACCTTAAATTCCCACCCCTATAACTAAAAATCAATAACTAAAATAGAAACTTGATTGGTAAAATACGTGATGTAGAAAACTACAGGTGAGTGTGGAGCCAGGTGATGATGAAGAATTAAATGGGAAGGAATATATATTTACAGACAGATAGTATAGACGTTCGCGAGTTGTACGCAGTATATTAACACAAGATCTTATACCAGCAACTTCTATAGTATTCGTTTCTCGGGTAACAAAGGCAAAGCAAAAGACCACGGTTGATTGTCCGAATTGCGAGATATATTTCGGAACCAATTCGCGGATTGAGGCGAATGCTAAGCTGACTAGTTATCGTGAACAAAAGTGACACGACGGAGTATCAAATAGCGAGGACGCTTGATCGTAAACCTTCAGCTAAACAAGTCGACTTAAACTCTAAGGATCAGCGTCCAGGGTTCACTGATGATTTCTATGGTCACGACGTAATTCTTCTCTTAGACATAATCTGTTCCTATGGCCAATAACTTTTGGGATTTATTTACCACTATAGCTTACTCCCACCTAGTGAGTTTGTGAGTACCCAAAGGCACAACTAGCCATAAGTAGGAAAACTCGCTAGTTCCCTTTCAGGTGAAAAAATCTTCCGAACGGCTTGGTGGTGTGCCCACTGGTCTGTCTATGCTAATAGGGTGTTTGTACATCGCTTCCTTGATGTTGTTCGTTGGATCCCGTGCTTTGCTTCTTGTCCAGTGCCTGTCGCACCTAGAAAAGAAGACAAGAACGCTAAGAACCTTGTTTAGGAAAATGTACCAAATCGGCGTTTTTTCCAAAAAAATTATGTGCATCAAGCATGCAGTTAAATAATGGAAAGGTTAGAACATCGAAAAAGTATACATCTAAATTTTTGGTGCATGTAACATATACCATTAAAGAAACAATTTTACTTGTGTTTAGTGATACTGTATATGAAAAATTTGATTGGTCTGAAAAGAAAAAAAAATAATTAGTACCAAAAACGAATGATTGCGGTGAATCACACGACTTAGTTATGTGATATAGGTGTGAAGATATTCTAGGAGTCTTACGTTACGTCCAGAACGGGTTTCCTTACAGGGCTCGACTGAATGTTCGGTGGCTTTCGCCGTGTTAGTGGTTTCTCCGAAGACTAAAGGATATTAGGTTACTTGTGGATTATAGGGTACGCTCAGCTCTATGCTAATAGGATTATCTTCCAAGTAAACCGGTTTCAGACTTTCAGGAACAAGTCGTCGTGCTTTAGATGTCACGGGCTGTCCAGAGGATATGATACGGTGCATAACATTGCTGGTTATGCACGGTAGGTCGATTGATAGGCAATAAAGTTCCGGATATTTATCAACAATGGGTTGAAAATTTGGATCAAGGATTGCTTTCATCTTAACGAGTGACAAGCTAGGGCCTATGTAAGTGATGCCTTTGATAGACAGACTAGTAGTATTGTCAATCATTCGTTTTCGGCGGACGCCTACGAGTAATCATGATGATTAGGTAAGTCCGTGCCAATGACGGGCATTGTGACGTCGGAGAGAAGGAAAATCCACTGAATAGGTTTGCATAAACCTACGTTCAGATAGACGTATTTCCGACCAAATGTTGCGAATGGTTTTCCATTTTCAGCCTGTAATTTGAAGGTAGGTTCCTTCTGTCGATCTGCTGCTGTAGCAAGAAGGACGTTGACTTCGGTGCCTGTGTCGACTAAATATCGAGTCTGGCTAATCACATCATGAATGTATAGTAGGCAGCTAGTGCCACCCGCGACGGTTGCGACTAACGCGTGTCAGCAGGATAGTTTTCTACAGACTTTGAGACATTGCCGAAGTAACAAGACTTACTGTAACATTTCGCTTCTTGGCCATTAGTGTTGCAGTACCAGCACCAGTCACGTTTGGTGCCTTTGATTGAAAGACTAGTAGTATTGTCAATCAGTTTGTGACTTTTTCTTTATATCTTCTTCCAATGATTGTGCTAGGCTTTCATTTAGTGGGTAATTTATAGTATGCTTGTTCTTTTCCTTGCATCAGGGAGATCGCTGACTGGCACACAAATTCAACGGGTTACTGGGTCTGTTGGCGACATGTGTAGTGTAAAGCAGCTGGTTAATTCCAACGATTATGGTAACTTATGTAAGAGGAGTCCTCAGTGAGATTTGCGTTGCTTTCTGGCTTTCCGCACTCATGAAAGCATGTGTGCCACGGAACCATTCTTTGACTCAATGTTGGTGAAAATCTTGCAGAGAAGTTGACCATCTGAGACATTGTTTCATTTCAGAATTACCGGATTCTTTAGGCCATAGGTATTACTTGACTCTGAGGCTAACATACGTAAGAAGTGATGCAGTCGTTTATTTCTCGTGGCAGAGCGCATATGATTGCCATTCATTGAAAGAGTTGATAAGTTATTCCATGTTCAAAGAAATCGTGTTACTATGCCATCAGGCCACAGTGAAACCAACTAGATCTATGTTATACTAACCCTTAAGTGGATAAATCAGTGTGTCTGGCCACAAATAATTTTGAAAGAAACGAAGATGTTAGAAGTTGGTAAGCGCAAACTAGGTCGAGCTCGCTAAAGCTGAAATGAGACCTGGTTGCGGGCTTACTGGGTTACGTGACGAAGCATTCATCGAGCACGGGTCATACTGTGAGTGTGCATTTCTTCTTTTTCAACACCCAATGAACTTATCCAAAGTAAAATGGAGAACGGCCAGCGAACCAAATTAAGACGAAATTAGATCGACGGAAACATGATCTGTATTTAGGGATCGGTACAAAGGAGTAAGGATGTGTGCATACCTGACCAGAGATCGGACAGAGTCGACTGAAAGTAATCCAACGGGGTGACAGATGGGATAGGCTCCTAAACAATCAACCGACTTAAACAGTAAGGGTCGCACTGAATACTTAGTGGTATAAGCTTCAAGTTAATAATTCTGTGGGATTATTTGTCGCCAAAAGTTTCATCTCTTTCTTCACAAACATACTTGTAGCTTTCTTTGAGAACTAAGGGGATTAAAGCCCGTGACAAACAATTTTTGAATGTAATTAGGGATTCTAACCAGAAATGACTTGACACTTATTTGCTTAAACTGTTTTCTGGTACAACTGAACCACTTGGATAAATAGAATTCTGCGATGCAGCATAAGATTTTCGAAAGTTACGTCAGCGTGTTTCAGATAAATTTAGGCCTTTAGTGTTAAGTAGGTCGTAAACATTATCATGAGTATATAGAGATGCCATTCTGAAAGTTTGAAAGATGGTTGATTCATAAGAGCTCGAGTTATCCGCTTTAAACCTATTGTCCACTAATTGACATTAAGGGAAGCTTTAACTCTATAGTTTAAAATTTTATTTAGCATCATGATAAAATACTGAATTTTGTAGAAGAAAATAACGAAATTTTATCACTACACTTAGGTGGGAAAATCAAACGACTGTGTTGCTTTTCTTGTTTTGCCTATCGTTAGATTCTCAAAAGGATTACAGCATAATTGTGATATTTGATATGGGGTTTTCTATCGTTTCAGTCATTCTAGTTATTGTTGGTTTATCTGAAAAATCTGACACCTTTTTCTAATTGTAAATGGAAACTACTTTCATGTATGAGTGATGCCTAAGTGTTCAACAGCACAGGATTCGGTGAATTTCGAAGAATACACAACAGAAAATGATGTCAAACTGATAAATCATGAAACCATCATAAGGGACTGTAGTGTTGGGTCTAATTCGATTAGTTCTGAGAACAGCCCTGGATTTAATCTTCCAAAGAATGGACTGATTGCTTCTGCCCTGGAGATACCTAATTCTGTATGTTTATCCTTCGAACATGTTGATCCACAAATGGACTGCACTTCTCGCTCACCCAAGATAGACGAAGAAGTGGTTCAGGATGTAAAACGTTTGGACTTATATGATAAACAACCAAAGGATTTATGCACCGAACAACAGCTAGAACCTGTTAAAAGGGAAGATTCTAGACACAATGAGACACTACAAGATGATGAATCGAAGTATGACCCTATTAGTCCAAAGAAGTATAATGAAGTTATTATTGATGGTTTCGCTATTCTTTCGTTCAAAACCAAGGAAGATATGTTGGTAAGTTTTATCTTTGAACTAATTAGGTACTTAAAGCATCACTACTAACTGATTTCGTATTGTTATACTGTGTAGATTTTCTTTAGGTGAATTAGCAACCATCGCTTCTGGTTTTGACAAAATATTCCCTGGTATTAATGTTGGTTTTCTGGAAGCAACGGATATATATATATATATATATATATATATATATATATATATATATATATATATAATTTTGTTGCATCCTGACCTAATAAGCAACGTACACTTAGTTAATCAACTGCCTAAATTTTTGATTGTGTTTCTTTCGATGTAATCTCAGTATCATGGTTTCTACACACTGCTGATATTATAACTTGCCCACCAATTTTTGCTGTTGTAACTCTACATCAGCATTTTATTTTCACACAAAGGTTTTGTCAATCTTTGTGACAGTCCTGTATTTGGTTCGAAACCCGGATAAAAATGAGCATCAACATTTTGCAACTTACTGTTGTAATGTGCCCGACAGTCATACTTGTGTTTTCCAAACATCAGAAGTGTTCCTGTTTGGAATTTAAAAAAATCGGAAGCGGGACTTAGTTATTTTACATATCGTGAGATTGATTACAATAGGCCAAACGGTATATACAGATGTAAGTTCAACTACATTGATTCTTGACATATAATATGTGATTAAGTCGAGTAAATTTCTCCTCCTGAAAGTACTATGAACAAATAAGCTTTCTTTTTAATTTTCTTGATAAGTGTGTTCATCTGTTCTTGTTCTGTTGTACCTTGGTTATTCTGCTTCTCTTTTCTTAAAATTGCTGTTTATTATCTTGTGAGAAACGTCCTCTTACACCCAAACCTTGTATGAAATAAAGTAAATAATCTGAATGGTTTAGTTTCTAGGTGCTTAGTGGGCATCATAACCAGTTAAGGATAACTGTGTAACTTTTCTGTACAGTATATGAGGTATCTTGTTGTTTTACTGTCGTTAAGTCTAAGCATAGGTTTTAAATAAAATCAAGTTAAGTCAACTATTATAAATCTCCGTCGTACTAACGGTTGTCGCATGTGTAGTTGTCTTGTGAGAGTGCAACTTCTTGGTTTAAGCATTTTATTTGCAGCCAGCGTTTGTGTGCTAGTAGAGTTTTCGATTGACTTTTCCCACGGTTTGCTCGACAGTCATCTTAAGAGTTTTGAATTAAATTCTAGTTCTCGAGACATCAGAACAGTCGTAGGAGCTTCCCACGGTTGTCTGCAACCAAGACAATCCGTACACCACTCGTTCGTTTCGGGTTTCGGAGCTCTTCTGCATCATAAGTTTTGAGTCAGGGTGTTGACGAAGGTATTTTAAGGGGAAGGTCGAAGTCTACCAGCTCTTGCCATGCCACGTCATTTTTAGAGGGGGCTTATTTCACCCTTCCTCTTAGCAGTACAGCTTGTTGGAGGCTAAACGAATGGTGTGCGTCCGTGTGAAGATTTCATCATTCATTAATCTGTGAAGATTAATGCAATTTTCCTATAGCCAGACAGTATTGTTGTTAAGTTATCATAAAGTTTCGGTTTACACTTAGTGAATGAGACGTGCTTAGATTCTCCTGAAAATTTCAGTGTCAGGAACTTTAACCAACAGGAAATTGTAGTCTATTGCCCCTCTGTGGTGAGGTTAATCCTTGCAAAGTTAGACATGAAATTATAGATTCCTAGTAGCATGAATATTACAAAGTCAAGGCATTAAATATCCCTAACGAATACTATTCGATGTAGACACTTTGCGGAATTATTTGCCAGTAGAACATACCGCTATAAAGCTTCTTAATGGGTGAAGTCAACAGCCGTTTCTAGGTAAAAGATGCAGTTAACTTCGAATAGCTTTAGGTGTGTTCTAAAGTATGACGAAGATTGATTATCTGTAGATGCATCTATAACCATTTCTACAACTAGCCTGTTTCTCATAGATTTGGTTTCTCTTGACTTTATTTAAGTATGGAGGGATTTTGAAGCTTATTATTTTAGAAAATTTCAGTGATATTAGTAACATGTAGTTATTACATCATCATTTCCCTCCCTAAAGATTGAGACCTTCAATGACTGATATTATTCTAAAGAGGTCATTGATAAGTGGGAAAATCTGCTAAATTATAATTCCATATTAGAATAATTTTATTGGATGGTGCCACGTAGTGATACAAAGTTATTTGTTCACTGATGACGTCCGCTCACAGTTGTATTGAAAGACTTCCAAACTTTGTTTATGTAGTCCTATTATTTCGTATCCTTTAGTTTTATTGTTGGTAATTTTTCCCATATTCCCAGTATTCGTGTCTTGTCATTTCTATTGCACGCGTAAAGTGTTGATTCAGGGAACGCTGATACAATGATCAGCCTATTCCTTCACTTAAATGCGTTATCAGTTAGAATTGTTGTATTACCTTGTGCCACTGTGTAACTGTTAAAAAATACCCTACAATAGCCGAGGTTCCATTTCACTTACTTTCTAAAGGTTTTTTTATTCCTCACTTAGCTAAATGCACCTCTTTTATCATCTGTGCTAACCCTGGTCAACTGGTTTGACCTGTATACTTCATATTAGTCATTACAAAGTTTTTGATAAACTACATCATCTTGTGTAATTCCGAAAGTAAAATCCTTAAGCCTGTAGAGCTTGTGAGTTTAAAAGTTATCCTAATTCATTCTGTTTGCGACCCCGACATAATATTCCATATTTAGGTTCCTTGTATTGCGACATCATAGATGGCTTAAATTCCCACTTAATTTTGTTGTAGCCTCTGTGTTCATTCTTATTTCTTCTTCCTTTGGGTGTTGATGTGAAGTCACCTAGTGACTGACGGGTCTCAGCATAGAACTATGCACCGATGTGCAGCAGTTCGAGTCACCACACTCCATGTAACACAAAAAGCAACAGAAGGAAGTAGAAGAAATGAAAATAGAAACAGTGGACAAGGATATGAAACAAAACAAATAGTAATAACAAAGAACAACATAGTTTCATTGGAAATTATAAGTCACAAGGAGTGAACGCCTCTATGCCAACCATTGAGAACGATTTTGAGCCATATCGCCAGTTGTCTCCAGCCTTCATTGGTTTAACCGTCCCAAAGACCCAAACCAGTCAGGAAGTCTACACCTCCCTACGTGGCTAGTTTAAACTAACTGTTGTGGATTTCACTGACTGATGAAGCCGTGTTTCGGTTTGACCATCACTGGCTATTTACCAACCTGATCAATCCTATCTCAGCTAACATTGTCCATTGTCGAGGAAGGCGATGACATACGTAACCAAACCATATGCATATGTAACCTAACCATCTCAGTCGATGTAATTTCACAGCCTCGCTGATTGGTTTTCCTTCCTACCTACCTAGAACTCGACTGAATCCTGACCTCAATATTGCTAACCCTGTTATACCACTTCACACGGGAGAGAGAACGCAGTCATCTATGACCAAAGACAGCAAGCCTCTTCATGTCTTCCATTCTCAATGGCCAGGTCTCACAACCATAAAGGAGGACAGGGCGGACTGCTGAGCAGTACACACGCCCTTTGGTCGATAGCCGACGGGATATCACGTCTACACCAGAGGTGACGTAAACTGGAATATGCGGAACTAGTCCTCTGTATCTGTGCAGAGATTTCGTCGGCGACCAACCCGTTGGGATTGGTTGATGCAACTTCTCAAATAAGTCTGGATCCAACATAGAACTTGGCACCGAAGTGCAGCAGTTAGAGTTGCCACGTTCCAAATAGCACACAGAGGTAGACAAGATGAGTGAAGAGAATTAATAGAGTTTGACAAGTATAAGAGTGAAACAGAATGGGTAGTGGTAGAAAGGAATATGAAAGATTACAGAGACTGAATACATCTGCGCCATTGACAACGATTTTGAGCCATGTCACCCATTGTCTCCAGCCATTGATTTTTAGAGTCCCGAGGACCCCAACCCGGGAGTCTGCGTCTCCCTACCTGACTCAGTTTAACTGTCAAGGATTTCATGGATTGATGAGGCCATGTTTTTGTTTGGCCACCACTGGCTCTTTCCCAACCTGCACCTATATCAGCTAGTAATGCCCGTCGGGGGAGGCGAAGTGGTCAGCGTGCTCTACCACTTTACTCCCTATTTCTCAGCTAGGAATGAGTCAATGTAGTCCAGTCCTGTAGCATCATCTTACATTTGGCGGGAGCGGATCGCATTCCGAACATTCGTAGATTGCAGCTCAAGGTGTTCAGAAGACTCTGCATTTTGTCAGCGTCTTCACCTAGGAGGCAGGACTATATCATCTGCATATTCTAAGTCAACGAGATTATTGCCTGGTAACAAGTTGACCCCTGAGTCGCTGAAGTGAGTCAGGGTTAATTCAATCAGTACATGCATAATGAAATTAAATACAAGTGGGGATAGTGAGCACCCCTGATGGAGGCGACTAGTTGTCACCACTTAAGATGGCAACTCTCCTTTTGGCTCTCACCTGGCTGCATGAGTTCGAGTAGAGTGCCTTGATCAGTGCAATGTATTTTCTCGGCATTCCCTTTACAGCCAGACATCGCCATAGTACCTCTGTCGACAGAATCGAACGTTGCCTTTAGGTCAAGAAATATGACGATTATTGGACGCCGGTAAATGTTCCATAATCCGACGAAAGGTGAAGATATGATCAATACACCCTCGTCCTGGTCTAAAGCCTGCCTGGTTATCTCGCGTTTGTTCCTCCCGATCACTGCTTAGTCTACGCATTATTATTGAGCTTAGAACTTTAGATACCATATTAGTTAAGCTAGTCCCCCGGTGATTATCACAGGAAGACTTGTCTCCCTTATTGTATATCGGGATAATCGATGACTTACACCAACCCGACGGAACTTCCTCTGATTCCCAGAAGTTGCCTAATATTTTAGTTAACACAAACAGTAAACTGTCTCCACTGTTTTTAAATACCTTTGGAGTCATTCCATCAGGTACCATAGCCTTGCTTCGTTTCAGACTAGTGACAGCATTAGCAACCTCAGTGA